TTCAAGCATATTCACTTAACTAATCTGCTTCGCAACCGCGCGCATATATGGTCCATTCGTTGCTCGGGCACGTAGAACCCCGGAAACTCATTCAATCGCAGCCAAATTTACCATTTCACAAAAACTTACAAAACTAGACTTTCAGAAGGATAAGTTCATCTTCAACGTGATTGCTGACGATAATGGTATTCCAGAAGCACAGCGTTCAACAGTTCAGGTGAGAAGAGATTGCTTTCAAAACCTGTCCCACAGGAAATACACCAAATGTCAATAAATTTCAGGTGACCATAAAAGTCCATGAGAAGCAACAATCGGCCCCTCGTTGGCAGACGAGTCCCGACTGTAAACCGGAGGTGACCGTGGTCGTTGAAAATGGCGAGGTATGTCTATGAGACTGTTTCTTGTAGACGTTAAATCTAACCGACCCCAGACAATCAAGAACTGAACACGAGCTACGTCTTGTTTCGCTCGCGCGTCATGTGGAGCTTGTCAGGGGGACTGGCTTTTGGCGTGGCGCCAACCCGTTCTCCACCAACTGCGAACAAGTGACAACGATTAGTGGAAAGCATGCTGGTGCTGCTCCACTCCCTCCCCCCTCACACGCCGCAGCATCTGCAGCGAACAAGACTGTAGATGCAGATCTCTGCAGAGTAAGATTGTCATCATATTCATCAGTATTTTAGTTTTTATTGGTGGATTGTGATTTGTTTCTTCTTTACAGATGAATAAAGTGCTGCTGCGGTGTCGAGCCATTGCAGGTGACAACTCGAAGAGCTCCATCGTTTACAAGTAAGTTTTAACTGCAGAGCCAGAAGCGTTTATTTTCAAGCCCATCAGCTTTCACCGTGCTTTTTCGTACTACTCTCGTTTTCTCTATTTCTGTAGTGGGCTGATATTTCATACAGGATCATGTCTTATACCTGTCTACCGTCACTCCACACGGGACCGGTTGCTGATTAGTGCGCTACCTTAAGGGAAAAACTGTAACGCTCACCTCCATAGATCCTGATCATTGCCATGTGTGAGGAGAATGAGTCCGCAGCTAAAGTACAGTGTCACTTTCTCCCGTCAAAATTGTACAAGCGAAGCTAGAGGGTAGTAGCTCTAGAGTGTTGTCTTCAGACTCCACTCGCGCTGCCGCACGGCCATGCACGCGCCTAACAATAGCCACACGAGCTGCTTGTCCGCGCTCTCTGCCCTTGCTGTGACCTCTGACAAGGGAGGTCGTTCAGGGCGTGGTGCGCTTTTCGAAAACGGTTTTTTGCATATTGTAGGGGCTCATGCAGGGACCTGAAAAGTGTGCTTCATTTTCGCTGCGCGCTTCCGGGAAAGGTAAAAAACGAGTGAAAAGAAATCTGTGGAATCTGCTTCGTTCTGGGCCTCTATGCGGCGTAGGTCACTTGCAACTTTGACCAGTTGCTGAGTGGGGGGTCCTTATAAAGGGGCCGTTTGAATCGAAGCGAAAAATCGCCGTAAGTGAGCTTCCAACTTGGGTCATGTGCTCAAGGGTGAACGGCTTCTTGCAGGGTTTCATCAACGATAAGAGCGCTAGCATAGCCGAGCACCGGATGGCCTAGCGGATAGAGTGGAGGTTTCGCAATCGGACAGTGAGGGTGGGGTTGATGGTTCGGCTCCCCTTGCGTCGTAGGCTTTTTGCATTTTTTAGATTTCGCTGTTCTCGCTTCCATTTGGGTCTGCGCATGAATATAACTCGGATAATATTTCCATTTATGGGCACATTCTGAGTAGCTATACCTCATGAGTCAGTGCTATTAAAGTATTTCGATTTTCACGCACCATTGAACAAGATTGTTGCTGGACGTTGTTCCTCATAGGCTATACAGTGGATCTGATTGCGAATTTAGTAACTTCTGGTGTGGTGTCACTTATAGACAATTTGGGGGGCCCACATCTCCTTTCCACTAATTCGTTATGTACACCAATGTAGGGAACGTTCACCGCTATTCTGTCGCCAAATTGCGTGGCGCCAAGGATAGTGTACAGGGGTTGAATCAGGCCACTATTACCACTAAAAACGAATTTTCAGTCAAAAATTGTTTTGACCTTCTTGGGTTTACTTGGGGTTGTCCGGTGTCCGTAGCGTCAACGATACGCATCGCTGTTACGAAGATGTGAGACTCCGCTCACACTGCCGACCAAATGGTCACCTACAACCCGAAAAAGTCAAAAAAATTTTTTCGCTCAAAACTTGCTCCTAGGGGTAATCGACAGTCCTGATCACGATTCTAGACTTTATTTTCGGTTCCAGTGCCATCTGGCACCGGCATAGCGCCGAAGAGCTGAGTCTGTGCATACTAACGAATTCGAACGAAAAAGCAGTTTTGCTCCATAAAAGTAGGATTGTTCAGTTCATCGTGAATGTTTTTATTAGGAGCCAATTATTTAGACAAACATGGATCCAAAAAATGAAAAATTGTAGAAAAGCAAAATTTTGTCCTCGGTGGGATCCGAACCATCGACCTATTTTTTTACGTTTTTTTTATTCGTAGAAGCGCGCAGCGAAAAAAATGAACCTCAGTTTTCTGGTCCTCGTATGTGCCCCTACAATATGCACAAGACCATTTTGAAAAAGCTCACCACGCCCTGAACGACCTCCCTTGTGAGTGTTTTGCAGAACCTTAGCATCACACATCTGCTGCGCTGAAGAGTAGCCGGGGGCGCAGCCATCCTACTACACATAATCCAATATCGTCGTGTGGTGTGTCGCGTCTGTCTTGTTCTGTCACGAAATCCATTGCGACTTTCCAGTAGGCCTGTGGAATTGATTCCAAGGAATCATATAGGGCATTTGACAGGAACATTAATGAATGCGCGTACAGAAGTAGCATATCGTCTGCGTGAGCCATATCTGCTTACCACTATCCTACAACCCCTTTATCGTGCACTTTTGAGTGTTGTGGAGGAAGTGACACGCTACTGCAGCTGCGGACCCATTCGGCTCAGAGTTGACAGCGAACGTGCCCTTACGAAGTGTACAGTTTGTCTTCTCCTCTTCCATAGCCCCTCATAGGATGCTAGCAGCTGCCCAATTGCCGAACACAGACAGACGTAGCAAATTATATGCAGTAGGGATGATGCGTATCGTACCGTGTGCGCGTATCGTATCGTACTGGTTCGACCAAGAATATAAAGGAATACTAGGCCAACGCCGGAGGCTACGTGTGCGAAGATTGAATGGGTGTGGGCATGGAGAAGATGAACGAGCACCATCTAAGCCCGCTGGCAGTGGCGGCAGGCGCCAAGTAGGAGTTTTTTTTTTTTGCAGCAGACAAAACCCCACAGCGCGCGTTCCATTTGGTCTCAGGCGATGGCGAAAAAGTGGTCAAAGTCAGCAAGGAGGCTGACAGCCTAAACGACGGCAGACCTAAGCCAAAATTGGTGACTAGCTGTTCGGATGAGAAAAGAGTACGCTTTAGCGAGTTATTCTCAACACAACGAAAGAAACATGCGCCGACGAAGGTCGCGTCCGCGGCAATTGCCAAACCGGCTATCACAGCAAAAAGGCTCGCCTCACCTCCTCGTTCTTCTTGATTCTTTGCTACCTTTTTCGAATGTTCAAAGAAAGTATTTCACATTGTAAGTGTACTATTTACTTTAGGATAATGTGTACTGCTTTTTTAGGTTGACCAATGGTGGTATTATGAGGCCAGGTAAAGCGGATGCGAAATTCCGTCAATTTAACAAAATCGAGGATGGGCGAGAATGGGTAGAGGTTGTGATCATGGAACCGCTTGACTATGAACAGGCTCAAAACTATACCCTCACGCTCACCGCTACGGTATGCCAATTAACCTATTGTCACAGTACTGTCAGTAGTGGAGAACCTCACTGTTTTCAGGACGTGAACTCACATGTGTCGTCATCACGATCATTCACGGTACTTGTGAAGGACGTAAATGACGTCGTGCCACAGTTTACGGTGGATCTCTTCACAGGAACGATTGACGAGGAGCTTACACCAGCTGAGTATCTGGAAAGGTGAGGCCTAGCCTTTCTTTAGTGTCTTGGAGAAAAATGCTACCGATATTTTGAATGTTCTGCTAATTTCAATTTCACCGTGATAAAAACATCTCGTTCCAGATTCGATCGAAAGCCGATAACTACGGTGAAAGCGGTCGACACAGATTCTGACGGTCCACAGAATGAGGTCGGCTTTTAGATCTTGAATTCGCTCTAGAGATATAGTTTTGAGAGGGAAGGTGGTTTAATGCAGGGAGGCGCGCCTTCACAACGCGAAACCCCTGAGATTCAAATCCGCGGCGTGGCATTGATAGAGCCTTCCTCGGCGTCTGCATCAGCCAACTAGTGCCAGATTTGTATGGAAAGACAAAACACTCATTCACTGTCTTGCAAATGCCATTATTGGCAAAGCTGCATTTGACAAGCGATTCTGAGCCGAAGTGAGATGCGCGGCGGACTTCAAAACGCTGACTGAGCATTTTGAAGTAATTGAGATAGACCGTTCTGAGGTTAGCTTAGCTATTACGGTTAGCAGCTGTTGGATGCAAAAGGCCTGCGTGTAGCGCTCCCTGTAGATAGACTGTAGGTGGACTTAACCTCCCATGGCACCCTCAACCACATGGGCGCCGGAAAAGAATTGGGGTTTCACTTCTACTGAGGACCTCTCTCCAATCTCGAATGAATGGCATGCAATCTGGAACTGAACTATCAAACGCTTATTCGACCTGGCTGTCATCTTAGTTTTCCAGATCCACTACCGCATTCTTGATGTGCCAGATCCCATGGGAGCACGGTTGTTCCGTATTGACGAGTTGACTGGTGAAATTTGGCCAAATGCCAAATTTGATCGTGAACAAAAGGATATGTACATTCTTACCGTGGAAGCTCGAGACAATCTACCATCCGCTCTACCAGGAGCCGTGGGCCCAAACAAAGGTGCCTTCGGATCGGATAAGAAAGCTCACTCAATGTCGTGAACTCAACTCTTCTTATAAGGGGTGCAACTAGTAAAGTCCTTTTCTAGATACGTGAAAGTCAAATTGTAATCGCGACGGTCACATGACAATGCGCCAATCGTTGATGAGCCAACAATACATTCGGAAATATTGGAGAATGCCGAATCCATCGGTTCACGATATCATCACTTGTCAAAGGCACATGATATGAATAATACGTCAGATTCATTTCTCGTTGAGTTTTTTCTCAAAGCTGCGTACCATTAATCTTAGTGGCGCCTGTATGTTCACCAGCGATGTCTGTCGTAATAAACATTGTAACCTGCATTATATCTCGCCGAAATGATGTTTGAAGCTTCAGTCTGGTGGGCTGAGACCGTATGGTTAACGCTGCACGAATTGCACAGGTCCGCAGCTACCGATTCAGTGGGCCTTGTGTTAAAGTGACGCGGATTTGGCGCCGCGCCGGCTCGTCTCTCGGGACGTCGCTGTGCCACACATGAAGCCGGTAATGATTGGTGGAAAAAGAGCTGACGTCGCCCCGAAATCCACCTCACACTGACACGCCCCACCGCTTCGCTTGCTTGGAACCATACGCAAAAAGATCAGCTTGGAAAAGTGCGAGGTGATGCTAGGCAGAAGAGACAGGACATCTTCTGAAAGGGCAGGGCCTCGGTTGAACAGTCTAAGCGACGTGGCTATCAAGCGGTAGTACGTACGGAAGGCACTTAACACAGGATTCAAAGGATTGATCCTCGAGGTGGTGCAGTCGGGCGCACGCCCTGCCACGGGCGGGGGGAACTTTGTGAAAAGTTTAGTCTCCTCCTCAGAATGCTTCTACAATGGCGAATCCCCATTCCCTCGCTTCCCCATCCTTTCATCCCTGCCTTGCCAAAACAGTTCCAAGGACGAGAAGGCCATACAAAGGATGAGCTCTCTGCCCATTTTATTTTCTGACCAATTATCAAGGGCGTTGAATTTGGCTCCAGTGTTCTGGGCACAATCATGTGAGCAAGAAGGATAAACTGAATTATTCTATGAATCTTTGGAGTTCAGACTCAACCTTGCGCTACGATGTTGTTGCTGCTCAAGGAGGTCGGATTCCATTTGTGGGCGCGAACGGATAATAGTGGAGCGATTTTGTGTCAGAGTAAATGAAGCTATTTTTCATGTCCGAATTTAATGGACTAACTTTGACGGCCAGTTTGAAAAGTGGCGTGATTCGCCCGCCCACTGGTCAGTGATTCCTTCATTTTCTCTGAACTAGCGTTTCACTGAAGCACCGAGCTTTCAGGAACCCACTCGACTATGAACAGGAATCGGTCTATTCAACTACGGTTGCTGGTCTCTGATGGTCGTCACAATGCATCGACTGATGTGTTCATCTATGTTGAAGATGTTAACGACAATGCCCCCGTCTTTGAACAGGTGAATCGAAGAAAAAAAAAGAAAATTTTGAGTTATTAATAAAATCCGGTGATGTTTCAGCCAAGTTATTCGACAACCATCCTTGAAGAGGACCCTGATATACCGAAAGTTCTCTTCCATGTGAAAGCTACCGATGCAGATAAGGTATGCACTCAGAGTGTGAAAGCTAAAAGCTAAATAGTTCTGAACAAGTTTCGTTCGCGTGGGATGCTGGGGCTGGCCAGGGGCCGAGTTGGCGTGACGCACTTATGAAAGTTGGGACAGGCCGACAGCAAGTTGCGTGAAAAAAGGAAGTGCCGCCAAATACAATGCCTGATAAGTCGCATCCGCAGCGATTTAGACTGCCACTCATGAGATTTAAAGACACTTTCCGCGTTGATTGTATAGGCGGGGTCACTTAAACAATCTCCTCTTCTTATTGGTCTGCCAATTCTTCCAATGTGGTGGAGAAGGTGAACGCGCTTATAGCGATATTGTCCAAATATCTCCTGGCCTATTCTATTCAGCAGGAAAGATGTTCTGCATTGATCGTGAGCAATTTTTTCCAACTACAGCACCCGATTGGGTGTCCAGTTCTTGAAGCATATTTCCTAATACTCCGTAAACTGTCGACGCTGATGTTTTAACTAGGGTTAATGTCATATCAGAAATAGTGTTCGCTTTATAACCCAGTTTTCCAGGATGAAAAGAGCCGTCGTATAATCTACTTGCTGGAGGGACAAGGTGCTGGCGAATTCTTCAGAATCGGTCGAGAAACAGGCGAGATCGAGCTCGTCAAGGTCAGTCGATTTCAAACTCACTCAACTTCTATTTTGCGTCATACTGTAGTTTCCGGCACTATTCAAGTACTTACGCCAATCCGAAAAAGGCCGGCCACGTCGCCAAGAACGGCCTATTAGCATTTCGTTGATCGGTGCACCGAGCTTACCTTTGTGGCGCAAAGTTTCCACAAAAAACTTTTTTTTTACATTTTGGGTAGTAAGATAGGTTGATAGTTTCCAAATTCCTCCATAATATACTCTTTCTGCCAAATCAGGTTGAGTAGCGCACGCACTTAAAGGAGTGCCAAATACATCACAGTACATCTCTCTCCCTCTTTCCTGTTTCTCTCCGCTCCCTCTCTCTCTCTCTCTCTTTATACTTCATTTCTCGTCCACTCAATATGCTCTGATTGATTCTAGTGCTATTTGCTGTTTCCGCGAGAAACGCTTTATTTCCACTAGAGCACTCGTGCGCGTGATGGGTTGATAAAGTCGTTTGATATTCATGGATGAGGGCATTTGGCAGGCGTTTTTCTTCGCCCTTTTCTGCTCGTAATATATGTCCTTGAACACGGAAATAATCCGTCAGCAAGTGGAAGTTCCTCTCCTCCCTCCCGCCTCGATTATCCTCTCCTTGCGCCCTCAACCCTAGAAAATTAAAGAGTACATAGCAAAAAGAGAAAAAAGGAACAGCTATCATTCTGCGAAAAAATATTATTTTTCTTCAGGCACTGGATCGTGATCCACCAAATGGAGTTCCAACATGGAATTTCATCGTTCAAGCTATCGATGACGATGGCCGTGGTCTGATAGGTTACGTTACGCCGACGTACAGGTAGGACGCAGGATTAGAAAGTTACACGATGCGTTCAATTAGCGAATGCTGTTTCTCAGTTTAACAATCTCTTTGAATTTTCAACATGGGAGACCTATGGGGAGAGGAGTTTGTCCGCTCCTCCATTTTCCTCAAGGTTTGTCATTCACTGGCGATATTTATCGCTGGACTTCTTCGACGGTTCTTCGTCACACTGGAGCTGTATCTGAAAGAAATAAGTCGGATGAGAAAAGTTCAATAGAGAATTATTAGGAATTCTTTGAAAATGTGAAATATTTGGTATAGTCGTGGACAATTCCTACACTTACTCATAATGTACTGCAGTATAGAGAAATGCAAACCAAAAACGCTGACCTCTGGAGGCAACCTATGTAAGGCCTTTCGAGGCACCAGCCCATAGCTGATACTGTTAATAATCGGCGCTGCAGGTTGGCCAAAAGGCATTACCCCCCCCCCCTTCGCTACTGCTGTTTTCTACCAATATCTCTTGCGCATTCTGTTTTGGCGAGTTCTTGCAGTTGATAACGTTTATTCAGGTTAACTTGAAAGACACCTAACGACAATGCTCCAATCTTTGCTGACGATCTGTATGGTTATGTGGAGGAAAATCGCCATCCTCAGTGTAAGTTTTCTATTAATCTATTTGAAGGGGGAACTGTACACTCACCTCCGTGGACCCTGGTCGTCGCTGTGGGAGGGAGGGATGAGGACCTAGTAGTCGTATATGTGCAGGTGATATGGGCCCGCAGCTGCGAAGAAGCGTGCATATTTTCCCTCGTATAGTGGCACGGGAAGAACGGAGCTGGAGGGTGTTAGTGATACCCCGTACCGTCTCTCCATAACTCCCTTGCGCGCCGCTTCTACTAGGACACACGGTTATTGTAAGGCAGACCGCGCTAACTTGTCTGCGCTCTCTCACTCTGTATTCTTCTCTACCTGAGGGCGTATTTTGCTTCGAGACCTTGGTAAACGCAGGTACTCTACCTTGAGGGCGGACGCTTCTGGAAGACAGCACCTGGGTGTTGTCACGCTCCAGCCTCGTTCCCGTGTACTTTTAAGCAGCAAACGTGGCGCGCTGATGGAGCTGCAGTTGAACCATTCGCCTCACCTATGGCAACAGTGGTACAGCATCGTAGTGGTGAAATGGATGGTGTCAGTCGATTCCCCACCCCTCAACAACGAGCAAATACGACCCCACTTAACAATCCGTGAAATGAGAAAAATCAACCATCAAAATAAAATTTTTCTCGGCCCAAACGCACCCCCCCCTCTCCGGCAACCAAATACTACCCCCTCTCCTGGTAAACAACTCGCACCAACGATGTGCTCTGGCTGAGGGAGCGGATATAGAACCAGTGAAACGGGAAAAACGCGGAAAGTCAATAAGCGGAAAGAATTTTTTCCCACAGCAACGCGGCAAATTTCTCTCAAAAGCACATGCGACCGCCCTCCCTAAATATGAGCAAATACAACCTCCCCCTTCCCAAGGTAGGAGTACGACCCCCTCCCGCGGAAAGTAGCCCCCCATGTGTTGCAGACAATGATGCTGGTACTTCTGATGGCAAAGTAACCATCGTGCGGAGATGAGTACTGTCGTGTCTGCGTTGCTCTACCGCAATACTTAATACTTTCTGCTCATTCGTGGGCACCTCATGCTATAGTTGTTCTGTAATGTACAGCTAACCGGAATTAATTTCGCAATTTGCCTATCCAATTCGCCAGGGTCTCTTTAAAAATTTTGAACATGTAATGTAGCCTATAAAGCGTGCGTTGAAAAATGTATTTGAATCAGAACACTTCAGCTCCTGATGGTGTGTACTTCATGGACGTACGAGCAACTGATTACGATGATCCAACCACTGACAATGCCCGTCTCGCGTACAGTATCGTGTTGAATAAGGAGATCGACGGTTTGCCAGTGTTTCGGATCGATCCCAATTCCGGAAAGATTTTCGCGATGGTACGTGTCTGTAATTGCCAGTCCCTGAAGGGGGCGGGGCAGGAAGCAATATTGCACGTCTTGCCCTACCTCTCACCATCTTCTAAATTTTTCGTTTAGCGGGCTCTGGATCGTGAACTGCCATCAGAACGTGAGTTCGTCATCGAAGTTCGTGCAACCGACCATGGTACACCGCCCAGAGAAGGTGAGATTTCACGTCTTCCTTGCAGTGTCCTACACTGAGGGAGTTCGCGTATAATGCTGGATTTTTCATTTATAAGATTCGATCGAGGGATTACTCAAAGACTCATTGGACATTTAGAATCTATCTATTCATTTATTATCTGGATAGAGTAAATTTTGGCGCAGATCGGCTGTAGTGGGGCAACCAAATTTCACTCAGCTGTGAACAGACCACCCTAGTGAGAACTGGTGTAAATTCCTGTGATTCAGAGGGCCTCTTCGAACAATGTTCGCAGAGTTTACAGGTCTGACCGAAGTCAGGCTTTGTCGCGTTAAAAATGAACCAATAAAAGGACTCATCTGCGAAAATGCAAAATGACCCCTCTAAGCCAACAGCGCCTTTTTTCCGATTTCCAGTAATCGGCTTCTTACAGGTGCCGCGAACGTGACAATAAAGGTATTGGACAAAAATGACAACGCTCCTATGTTTGAACGACCGCAGTACGATGTGAGAGTTATGGAGACGGCACCAGTCGGTTCGGCGGTGATAAGTGTTTCCGCTACGGATCCAGACGATGAGGCCATGTGAGTGAATTATAATTATAATAGGGAAAATTCATCATTAATCAATAACTGGTCGTATGCAGCACCTTGGAGCGACAAAAAAAAACGTATTAGCCTTCATTAATAAGTAAAACATTCAAATTACCACATTTTCTGAGGTATAAGTCACATCTCGCAGAGCCCGAGCCGGAAACGAAGGTGCTCTCTTCAGATGGGTGTCCCTTATGAAAATGGGGGTACTTGAATCGGGAAGTATAGATACATCTAATAAGAATCTCCGTCGGTGTATTTTCACATGTCTCTCAAGGTACAAGTCTGCAGATCCGGCTATCATAGAAAAGATACCGTGAAAACTTATAAAGGGTGTCCAGTTAGCGTTTAAATTTTAAGCAAAGGTGAGGTTAAGATGGAGCATGAATCTCCAGGAACTATGTTTTGGGCAGAGGATTCAAGTGTCCCACAATAATCAGAATGCGACAATTTGTCCAGAGGCGCAAGAACCATTGGACTTCTATTATCACCCCTGACCTCAGCTCTTCCGCCCCCACCCTCTTTACTGTATCGGAATAAGGGCGCATCAGAGAAGAAGTCGTGATAGTTGTAGGCCTCAGCCCATTTCTTCACCCATGCGCTATCGCGGAATGTTTCTTTACAGTGTACCTCTTCACTAGGGATCCGACGCGGGTCGTACCTGTTCGCTGGATAGAGAGGGGGGGGTCATTTATTACTGGGCAAGCGCAACAAACGATATTAACAGTGATGTTGTGATCCATCGTAGGCTGGAAATGCGACAAAAGTTTGTATGTTTACTGTTAGAGTTTTGTTTTTTCTGCAGCATTGAAAAATCAGCCATATTTGAGGGCACCCAATTTTAAATAATCGAGGCCCAATGGAATGGTCATAATATCCATTCGCGTTGCCAGCATCCTTCTTGGGCAGCACCTCTTGTAGCTGACCTCTCTAATGCGAGGTGGCAGTATACAACTACTCAGGCAGAACTGCACCCTTGTGTAAAACGATGAAACTGTTTGCAGAAGGGAGGGATTTGTGGCCAACCAAGAATAGCCAAGAGCACTAATCTTGAGCCCTCGGTCTGACTCATTCTTGTTGCGCCTTCGAATTGGCTGAGAGCAGTCATCCTCACCTTGTTATATGACAGGTGGTCTAAGAATTATCCATAGCGCTGGAATGCATGCAAACGATCACACTGAAAAGAACAAGTGTTTCTAAGCTAATCAGTACTTGAAGTGATTTTCTCAACCTTCAGTGACAACCTCTTCACCTACACATTGGCCGATGACTCGAAAATACTTCTACATGACGACCGATCGCGACTCGAGTGATTCCTATGTGGGAGTACTACGTGTGAAAAGGGTGAGTTCGTTCTTTGACTGCCATTATTTATTTGCTGGTTCTCACATATTGTAATGAAGGGAGTTTCAGCGGGTCAGGCTTATGAATCGAAGAGTTTTTCCCCTCGAATAGCAGAGCTTTGCATGCTTTGTGTTGTGTTAGTGACTCACCTACGTTCACTCGCACCTCACTGATTTGCCCATCTCTCTGATACCTCCCCAGTCATCTGAAACTTGGCATAACTGTAATCTCCCACTATTTGGAATAACTTCCTTTTTCCATACCATCTTCCATCTTCAGAAAGGCTATGAGGCCTCTCAATCCAAGGGTTTTCTTTCAGCAATAATATTGACACATTATTCACACCATTATTTCTTCCCTTTTCTTTGTTACATCAAGCAAGTTCAGGAGATAATTACAGGACTTCTTAAGCGTCAAGCTTTCAATGAATTACCAACTGAAGCAACAATGAGTCAGAAGCGTTATTGCGTCCTTGGCGCGGAATTCTATAGTCAATTTACTGGGCTTGTTAGACCTTGAAAGCGGTTTTTAGGACGATTGGCGCAGCCGCTCAGCTTAGCTTCTTGTCGATGGCTAATTCTACCTGCAGCAGTTGAGGATGTGTGTATCGCAGTGGTAGAGTGTAATGAGCCGTCCCGTTCTTTACCAGAAGTTCTTTTGGCACAAAGTGAGCCTTCCCTTACCTCTACGGAGGAGTATACACCATGTCCCAGAAATGGGAAGGGCATACCTGCGTAGTACGGTCGAAGTCGAAGACGGCTGCGCTTCGGGTGTTGCAATTGAAAACAGTTGTAATCACGTCTTTGTTCAGCACAAGACATGATGGCAGTTCTCTCGAATAGAATGACCCCACGAAGAATGCATCCTAAGCCATGTTCAGCTGGGGTACATAGCCACGCCCACTCCATTTCCGAGCTATAGAAAGTAATTGGATTATATTTTAGCTATCGCTTAGTCTAATGGTAAGGGAACCTTAACGCTGGCGCTTGCTGGAGGTACAGTCGTCATCCGGGCAGTTGATTATGCGGTCGTGGAAGGGTTGCAGACGCGGTTGCAGCAGCAAATCGCAAAAACGCTTCATTACAAAAACAAAAAAAAGAATCTACGTCCTGATATACTTAATATGACAATGAAACAAATTACCTTTAAATAAATAGAAAATACAGTGGAAATTAGGGAGGAAATGGCCAAACCAGGCTGGAAATAGCTGATCGCCACGTTCGTGCCGCGCCGCAGCCGCGTCTGCGTTCCTTTGACCGCCTAATCAACTGCTCGAATATCGACTGTATTCTGCTGTTTCCCGCTCACTGACGATGCCTCCTTTGTAGATCTGTAAAATCCCGGAGAGCTAATGAATATTGGGTCTACGGACAACTTGAACTTAATTCCTTTGAACGCGTCGATCTTCTCTTTTTCTCTGCATTCTCTCGTCGCAAGGCACTCCATGGCCGTCGTGACTTCGCTCACTCCACCTTTTTACCGACTGTAGGTAGCTCACCGGACCAACCCGCAGGCACCCTCCCTTGAAAAATTCGTTTTCTTGACTTGGGCACATTTTTTGCACGTTTCGATGCTTTGGCTCTGCCCTCTATCCGTCTGCGTCACGGGGTTTCGTTACAGGACCATTCACAAAACTTCAACATGTCACGACCATGAATAGCGTGAGCTTCGTTATTGGCAATTTGACAAGTAACACGTGTAACAGGACATCACCTAAGTTGGACGTGTAATTTAAATAGGACAACAAGTGAAAGCAAGCTACCGAAATAAAGTGAATGCCCCTTTCTAAGCACCAGGGCGCCTGAACTTGTCACTTCTTTTCCCTCCTCTTCTCCCTGGCGTTAGTCCCGCACGGTTGTAGAATCCCCTATTCCTAGTTCCATCTTAGCCGTAGCCTTGTCTTGAGTGAAGTCCCTCCTGATGCCGTCTTTTCAGCTCTTCTTTGCGGGCGCGGCTAGCGTATGAGAAGTCCTGTATGTCATTACCTCTTAGTTACATCAGAGTACTAGTACAACCTACACCAAACCCTGAGCGAGCTCAGGAAAATTTGACTTACTTGGCATCGATTTCTCCCCTAGTTGAATCACCATGCCAAAACCCTCACAACCGATTTCGTTTTTGTAGGACAAACTGTTGTATTCATTATGTGTATAATATGTTATTAACGTTCCTTTTTGTTATTGTTTGAAACCATTCGTATTGTTTTACAAGTATTTGTCCTAATATATATCCTGTGTTCATACCGAATCCCCGTTTAAAAGCAGTGGGTACGATAGCGGGGGGCGGGCGGTTGTTGCTAACGCCATTGGCGGAGGCTAAGTGGGTGTGGCCGAGCACCCTCTAGCAGCCTTTCCACCAATGATGCTGACAATTACCGCCCGTCTACAGCAATCGTGCCCCGTGCCTTTAATGTAGTACCTTGCTGGTCCTGTCGAGAATAGTCTCGCATCTTACCTCTGACAGGTTTTATACTTTAGCATTTCTTGTTAGTAAAGCGCTCAATTGCAATCACATAAGGCGTTTCTTATTCATAGACATATCCTGCCAAATTTCACTGAGAAGGTAGTTGTTCTTAGTTGATTCGCTTTTGTGATGACTACTACCATCGTATTCCATGCGTTGCCCACATCTCTTCGTTCTAGTCGCGGTTGTGTTATGTTATGTTCATTACGGTAAAAGTTATATAACATATCGTTTACATCTGTATAAATGTAGAACCCGCACTTCTGTATGGTTTTTCCAACGTTACATCGGAATTAATATCAGTTTCAATGGTCCTGATTTACATAAGTCTCATGATTTCGATCAGGAATGGCCGAAGACAACTTGAAGATGGAAGTAGAAGAAGGAGAAAGCGCACCTATTTCAGCGAAGGATAAGAAGAGATTCGAAGTGGGTTGAGTACAAAATATGTTTTTGTGGCTCGGGAGCGGTATGCGGACTTGTTCGCTGTGGATTATTGGGGGGGGGGTCGGAGAAGCTGGGATTGGCAAGTCGCCAACCCATTCTCTACCAGTTCCTGAAGCGGACAAGCGACAACAATTGGTTGAAAAACTGACGGAGCGATACGATACAGTCTTGTTGCCCACCGTAAGAGGAAAGAAAACGGGCTGGCGCTGCGCCAAATCACCTCTGACACGCCCCATCACTAACAAATAGAATTTCATCTCAGTTTTTGCAGTTTTTTCTTTGTATTTCTTTTTCCTTCACGAGGACGGTTAGGGATTTTTTTTACTTTTTCCATCTTGTATATTTGTTTAAAAAGAAGGGATTTATGTGCTAGTATTCCTCGTCAGACCGAAACACTTACAGAATAGAGGATTCATCAGTGTTTTGTAGGTGAAAAAGTGGAGTGCAGTGGCGCTTTGGGCATGGGATATTCAAGTAGACAACTGTGCAATCTGTCGCAATCACATTATGGACTTATGTATTGAATGTCAAGCCAATCAGGTATGTGGATCTCCTTCTGCTTACTTTTTTGTTGGGCCTTAGTCTTCCAGGCCTGGGACAGGGACATGTCTGAGTTTTAGGCAGTCTAGATTGAATCGCTTTATTGAGAACTGATTCAGCGGGAATGAGATTGCTGCAGTAGCGTGTTGAGGCGCTGCGTGAGCTGACCGCACAGAATCGGTATTTCTGCGTTCGCACTACAAAAAAAGGCAGAGATGGTGTATTGGTAAGAGGCACGCCTACCAGAACCGCGGCTCAAAGGTCAAATTCCGATCGGATCCTACCCAAGCCAACCTGCCTTCTACCTTCCGGGCACGGTATATTGGTACTCTCTTCATTGTATCCTTCAACCCCTCTACCTGTCCAAAGCTCCTCGTGATCCACCTTCAGCTTTTTCCGTGTTTTGGAGGGTCGTCATCATCGTCGGATGTATGCCTACTAAGCCTTCGTCTTTGTCTTCCACGGCGATCACATCGTTGAGCGCTTTTCTGCCCTTTGTTACAAAGATGCTCAATATATTTTTAGGCCCTTAACTGACCAACCGCAGTGCTATTGTTTTCGTATTTTAGAGCTATGTTCCGTATACATGTGATGATTCACAGGTATTTTTTCATATTTTTATCCTTGCAGGGTAATCAAAGCACAGGTCAAAAAGAAGAGTGCACAGTAGCTTGGGGGAACTGTAATCATGCGTTCCATTTTCACTGCATTTCTCGTTGGCTGAAAACTCGTCAGGTCAGTTGAAATCTTTCTACGAAGGTTTCCAATGTATTCCTGAAAGCGCTTATTGGTGCTCTTACAGGTGTGCCCCTTGGACAACAGAGAATGGGAGTTCCAGAAATATGGTCATTAATCACCACACAATATCAATTTTCTCCTTCTCTGTGTGCCTCTTCGGCTGTTTATATTTCCGGCCTCTTTTGAATATCACTGTTCCGATGTATGTAATTGTAATGTTATAATTCGTCCGGTATCTCTTGATTGCTTATAAGAAAGAGGTCGTGTTCATTCCTTGCGGCTCTGGAGAATAGGAGAATACGCTGGTATTCTCGGCGGATCGTCGCTTTTGAAGAATACGCTGAAGACGTCATATATGCGTTGACTGGTCGCTGATTCTTCAGCTGGGATGCCTAATCAGTCGATACTTATCTAAAATATGGTTTTCTCCAAAGGTGCTGATTTTCCGGCCCTCCCATTCTTGGAAAACACAGAGTTCCCTATCTCCTATTCTCCAGAGTTGCAAGGTAGGAACGCGGCCCTATAACGATGTTAATTTGTGCTGGTTTTTGGTATCAATAAAATTTGTCGTACATTGTATTTTTTTCTGAAGAGATTATCGTGATTGACGGCTGTTGGGTAAGCTACTCAGTGAAAATGCTAGATAATGAAAACGGCACAGCGACGTGGCGAAAGCGGTACTGAACAGCCTTGTTCGCTGCAGGTGAAGGGGCGTGTCCGGGCTGGGTTTGCGCGCTGGTAGCTCAAGTTCCGCTATTTTATTGGAGCGGTACAACAATATTGGTTCAAAACGACTGTTGTGAAGGATATAGGGTCTTGTCGCTTACAGAAAGGAAAAAAGGGACTGGCGCCGCGCCAAGTTCATCGCCCTTGGCAATCCCATCATCCACAGCGAGCAAGGCTGTATGCGATGTTACATGTGATGGATTCGTCCCAGGGCCTAAATGATTCGAGGGTCTGTAGTATAGAAGGATAAAGTCTTCGCCGTTGATCAATCCCTTTGTGGGATGCGGCACGCATTCTACTTCCATTCAGAATCGTAGTGGCTTATTGAATGCGATGTGGCCTATACAATGACTTGCGGTGGCCAGCCGATGTACAAGTCAGTGTTTTATCCTCCCAGACGAATCTGGTACCAATTTACCGTCCCCGGAGGGTAGAAGGCTTGGTTGGCT